AAGTTTTTAAAAAATCCCGATAGGATGCAACATTCGAAACTCGGTCATACAGTCAAGTGTTAGTAATTCAGGACGGCGCGACGAATTTGTAGTCTCGGTACAATTTTGTATCCCTGGGTTGCATTAAATTTGCTGATATTATATTATTTTCAACAGTGCATACCCGGGCGGGAACTTTACATCGTTAAGGAGGATTCATGGCTTCCGTTAATTCAGAGCCCCTTTCCTCTCTCCGGAAATTCGCTTTTGGGCCCTCGAATTGGCACGTGGCGAGCCAACTCGTAGGCAGACCCGTCATTTTACGCCCACGGTGGAGGGTAATCGCGTTGACGATTAATTATCACGGGACCAGGGTTCTAATCAAGGTCGGCGGTCTCAAGGTGCGCGGTCTCGATTCAAAGACCCTTGAATTTCCATTTTGAAAACACTTTTCTGTGAGAAATCGATGATCTCGCGGAGGGGGGCGCGTCCACTTGATTTTAGCAGTAATCGAGGCTTTGGTTTATCGATCTCTCCTGTTTTGGATGGCTATCAATTATCGGCCTCCCAGAATCTCGGGCATTAATCAGGGTGTAATTATCTTGCGAATTGTGCCGATAATCCCCGGTAATGCTTCTAGATATCGCCCCGGCACGTTTCGTGAGCGATAAAATATGCACGTCGTTAGTGTCGCGCACACGCGTGCACTTAGACCTACGTGAGGTACCGAGTCATTGTCAGCTAGTGATAGCAGGTACTCCTAATCGTAATCAAGTGTACAGGTACATATCTGTAAGAGCAAATCGACTGCACGATCCGTGTAAAACACGATAAAATAATATCTGGCTGAGACAATAGAATTGTTCAACATGGAGTATGATTAGCATATGAAAAACGAAATATTTGTTCAAGGTATCCGAATTTTTATATCAACCATTTCTGGCCGATTAAGTCAAATATTCTGATAGATCACCCCAGGTACTAAATTGGGCACATTTATTAAAAATATTCGGCTTGTTCATTGAAGTATTTTTCCTATATTTAACAAAACAATTTAATTAAACACTTTACTTGAAGCAAATGGGTTCGATGTAGTGAACTAAAATTCTGTTCCCTCGACCGGAACATTTTCGGCAAGGAATCAAATTTGACTCAATGGACAACATTATTTTTTGCGTGTAGGTACTTGGTTTTTTTCCCCTCCGAATTTTCCATCAACTGGTGGAAAATTCCGAGGTGACACGAGGATAATTAGCATCGCGCCGAATACCGTTAAAATCTCGCGGGCGGAAATAATCTACTTCCAATTAGCAGGACTCAGTGCGACTAGTTACAACAGTTGCAGCCAGGGAATTAGTTGCTGGAAGAACAATAGAAAAAGTTCCTCCCGTTCGAACAGTGCCCAGGATTTCGCTGACAAAATCAGTTCGCACGCCGGAGACCTGCGTTAATTTTCCGCTCCGTCGACAAACAGGATTTTCTAGTTTATAATAAATGCACGTATCGCTGGACACGGTTTTCGAAATTCGGTCTCCCTTGTGAATAAAATAAACCATAACAATGTTTGCCTCCGTCCTACCGTTTATTAACCCCGATGCGTAATCGCAAAATCGAAGGGCTCCGCAATACCGAAATTCTGCGATAAGGACTTGAATCTTCGTTTCTTTTTTTTCTTTCTTTTTTTTTTCCCCAGGAGAAAGAGAAAAATCTCCGAGAGTTCCCTCGAGTACGAGAATTTAAAGGAGCTCATGCAGGATTTCGAATTTCCAACCGGCGGGTTATTTTCCCTTCTTTCCCGATTTTCCTTTATTTCCAGCCCCGGCGCTGCGTTTTCCGCGATAATCCAGATTCCTCCGGCGATCCGCGAGATCTCGACGCGGAGTATATCGCTCCGATATCGGTTATCGATTCCAAGGGCCGCCAACAATTGTTTCCCGCGACGATATCCCGATTTTTCCCGAGAAATAAGTCCATCAGCTGTCCGCATTCACGTATTCTTCATTTCTAACGAGGATCGTTTCATTCCATCGTTACGTGATTAGTTTTTTTCATCTCATTTTCGGGAATTTCTTTGGGGGGCCATTTTGGACTGGAAGGGGGTCGGAAAAATTCGGAGAAAATTCCGGGGTGGCGAGGGTTTCATTCGGAGGAAAATCCCGCGTCGATCGGCCGCACGGGGGGAGGGGAAAAACGGAAAAGAGGGAAAAAGCTGGCACCGCGAACCGAGGATGAAAGCGCGCGAAAAGGTGGCCGAGGAAAGCGCGCTCGCGAGTGGCGAACGCGCTCGTATCGAGACACAAAGCTCCCTTTTGAGCCGAGGGTTTCGTCCCCGTTTTCAGGGAAATATCCGAGCCCGGGTCATTGTTCGAGGGGCTCGATGCAAGAACGTAAGTCTCGGAATTAACGGCCCGTAAGACGTGGACGAGGAGTCGTGTCACGCGTTTTTCCGAGCACGTTGCCCGAGTAATCGTCCCCATTGTCGGTCGGCTTTTCTCCCCAGATATCACTAAAACATCGAAAACGACGCTTAGATGACAGATTCCACTACCCTAGGGAATTTTACTGACCGCCTGTCGCCATTAATCACCTCGGCGTTAAACACGAAAATAATTCTAGGACTCTGAAGAGCAGATGCGGCACGTCCGGGTACCACAGACCTCACATAATAAACCTAACACCTTTTGTTATTAAAATATGAACCTCCATAATGTACTATGCAATATCTCTCCAAAATTGTCTAGATTAAACAGGGTTTCTTCTTTCTCCCCCACCTTCGATCATCAACTGACTTTATATTTTCCATCCATCGAGCTATGATTTCCTGGATTAATCGGATTAATCGTATATTCTTTTCCCTTTAATTTTCCCGCAATTTCTATCATCAAAATATGATTTTGCCCTTCCCATTCATAATTCACGGTACATAATTTCCCCCATTAATTGGATTTCTTTCATTCCCGGACCTTCTAAATGTGAATGTACGTTTCCCATCCATCCATCAATTCGTAATTTATTGGATTAATTGGATTTCTTTTTTTTTTCCCTACTCTGCGATATACAGCCGTAGATTCCCGAGGGACGAACCGAGGCTCGCGGTTTTTCCGCTCCAAAAAGCTTGGTCCATTAATATCGCCCCGAGGAGGGAGGGGACTTTTATTTTTTGCCCCCTTTCGACATCTTGTCCGGGTTACTTCGCGTAATTGCGGAACAATCGCAGCTCCCGGCGTACTGCGCCCATCGAGCAAATGAATCGCAAACCGCTTTCCTGGTTGCAGATAAACGCGGGTACGCGCACGTATGTAAATATATAAAGGTATATAAATCCCTGCAGGTGTGCAAAAATATGTGAAATTGTGTAAAAGTGCGACATACAAGAAGGGCTCGCATTATTCCGCAAAAAGGAGCCAGACACCCGAGGACGTACCCGCGGATGTAGTCGAGTGCGAGCAATCTTTATCACGGGGGAGTGATAAGAGCCAGGGGTGCTTTTTACCCCGACTTCTCCATTCTGCCTCGGGCTATCCGACGATAAGAAATAAGAACCCACCCTTAGGTCGAGATTTCCGCAATCTGTGGACAGACCTTCGTCTTAGGGATTTCCCTTTCTTCGGATCTCCCTTTTGGTCTTTTCTCGATCCTCCCCCGATTCGTAACGAGAGAAAGAGACGACTTTCTTGAAGGCCGAGACATGTTTCATTGCACCTCCTAAGGGAGGGTGACATTAAAAAAAACTCCACTCTATATTAAATTCCAGATTAATTTTTTACATGTATCGATACATGTTCGGATACGTACACAGTCGTCCCTCAATTTACGTGGAGTATCCCTTCGACGTGAATTCGTTTTGCGCGAATGAAAATCGCGTAAATAAATTCTGTCAGGACGAAAGAAACGATATTCGAAATAAAACCTAGTACTTGCAATTTTTATTACATATCATTTTTATTTCAAGTAGCTTAATAAGAAGAAAATAATGACGTTTCTGAATTTTTCTAATATATTTTAGATCTCTTTAGGAACTATCTTCTGTGGGAAGAAACAAGTGTCGAGTCCAAGGAAACGTTTCCGCCGGATGGGTCGGTGTTTGCGCTGCGAAAATTAGCATTTAACTCACCCCAGAAATTTGCAAATGGTCATGCGATCTGCATACAATCCTGAAGTATGTTTTCCCTCCCCCGTTTCCCTTGAAAGCCTCAACCATGAGAACATTTTTATTTAAAGGTGATATGAAAGTCCAAATGTTTAAACAACTTGTCTCCAAATTGGGTGCACCGAATCATTTGAAACTTCATCACGAAATTATGGAGGCCCTTTCATTTTTTGAAAAATGTAATTTCACGAGCATCGCGTTCATTTTCACGTTTTGATGCATATATATAGATTGACCCTTTCATATCACCTTGAAAGAATTCAAACTACTTGTTTTAATAAATTACAAGAGTTGGAGAGAAGTAAAGGGTCCAAATTTCTTGTGGCGCGTTTTCGAATAAGCCCCGAGGGTGACGGAGACAAATGGAAAGGAGAAATACATCCAGGAAGAGAGAAAAGGCTACAGGAAACCGGCTACGAGTCTGACAGAACGTAACCTTGCCTTTGATCGAATCAATGGACCGAAATGGTCAAGCCACTTTCTACGGAGGAGCCTCTTTTATTCGGAATCCACTTACAGGAAGTTCCACTTTGTGGAGAGTGCGATATTTCTTCCCGGACTGCGTAACACCATACAAATTTATTTTTTTCCCCTTCAAATCTAATTGCTACAGAGAGGCATTCTTAACCCTAGATTCCCCAACCGTTGGTTTAAATTGTTTTTATAATAATTCCTACCTCAACCTATACTGCGCATTTTCTGGAGTTACGCATTTTTCTATAACATACATATGATTAATTTTATCATTTTTTTTCTCTCTTCCCTTTATCTTTGAGATACACTTCTGTGTGTGTCAAATAATTTGTATGGTTTCTTTTTTTTTTTTTTACATAATTGTGGGTTACATTTGGAGTATTGCTATTTCACTTACCGGCACATCGGGCGAGGCATAGGTGGGATTGTCTATTCCGGTCGTCATCTTCAGCCTGTGGGAGACAATGAATCGGTGTTAAATCGATTCGACATGGGGTGAAAATTCATTTTTGAAAAGTCAATTTTGAGTTAGGACGCATGCGCGCGAGGATGTATCTTCTTGTCATTTGTCCTGGGGCAGGGTATAAGAACTCGTATCATTGCTCGAGATAGATCTCTTGCACTCGCGAGCCATAAGACAGAGGATTTGATAGGTGTAAATGAACGATAATGGTGCATGGCGGTCCAAGTAACAGGATAATAGCCCCTCGCGGTTGAATTATTATGCACCGTGGCTAAAACGTCTGCAAACTCCTTCCCGGGGATGGATTTTTACAAGGGAGCCTCGCAACACTGCCAGACAGAATTTATCGTATAATTATTAATCCGGACGACTCCTCGTTAAATAATTAACCGTTTTTCGTTCCAATCGTTTCCTACAAGTTATCCGGTCGACGTCGATTTTTTCTTTTTTTTTTTCTACGCCGCCCTTAAATGCGGAAATAAATTCAATTCTGTTTAGCCGGGCGGCTGTACAATCAGGGAGAACGAAAGGTTCAATTACACCTGTTGGATGGCTGCTCAAATTATGGGGTTTCTCTTCCTGTTTGCATCCAAGAGACAATCGACGATCGCGTCTCTTGACTTTCCTCATTCTCCGTCGACTTATCCTTCTCGTGGAAAACTTCGTAAATTTACTATATTTATAGGAAATAACCAGAAAATACCAGTGAATAAAGTCCACGGAATTTTCCTAAAAATTTCTCATAGTTATATACGAGAGGTTTGGCAATTTATGGAGTACCGGTAAAATTTAAATTCCCCGAAATTAATATCACCGACGTGGGGGTAATTTCTCTCGATTCACGTCCAGAGAAAATGCATCGGTGCTTTGGCCGATGCTCATCGATCGATTATTTTTTTTTTTCCTCCAAGCCCGCTGGATGTTGCAGAACATCACCGTCCCCTTTTGTTATCCATGTTTCACGTTTTTCGATAGCAAAATGACGAGCGATTCTATATCCAGCGATTTAAACCGAGCTGCGGGAAAATGTCGCCCCGTTACCTCCGACATTTCCACGACGTCACCATTAAGAATCTCTTAAATTAAATTAAGGGCGGATTTTCCAGCTTTTCGCGGAAATTCTTTTCGCGAGCTACATGGCGGGGCCTTTAAACGGGGTGAAAAAGAAAATCGGTTAAAATCGCGACCCAATTATGTAGACTTGGTACCGAGTTACGTTGACAATTCGTTGACTTTCCCAGGTGGAATTTTCGCATTCAGACGTTTAGTTCGAAGTGCAGGCGAAACATTTTCTAGGCATTCGGGGGAGGCAAGCGGCTACAAAAGCAGACGGGGGGTTTCTGCCTGGAAGATGGGAAACAAAAGCGACGTATTCGGGACAAGAGGCAATCTCGCGATGTCAATGGTACTCGAAGTGCTCGAAGGAGCTTCATACAGGCTCGAGGTTCGGGAAAACGCGGAAAGCCAGCCGAGCCCTAAATAACGAGAAAAGTTGAAAACTTGGGATAACCGGAGCCCCTTTTGCGGGGCCCTCGTTAGGGTGCCAATGAAAACCCTGGATTCACGCCACTCGTCAGTAATTACGGCACTGAGCTCACTTTCAAACCCTCCCCATAATTACACGTCATTTCCTTTACCGCCCTTTAATAATTAAATCCTGGACATTCGCGGTCTACGCACGCGACGGGGATTTTACAACTATAATATACGGACGAGAAAGGATTTTCCTTTCATCCACCACGAGCGGAAATTCTTGGCGCGACGTTTCTCCGGGCGGAAAGAAAAAAAATATAAATAAATTAACACGGCATTGAACATAAGTTTCAACGGATGTACGTGAAATTACTCGCGACTGAGAAACTTGAAAGGGAGAAAACAGCCGTGGAAACGGATTGTAAATTAAAGTCGTATTTAACGAAAAATCATATTTAATAAAAGTGCCGACTGAAAGAAGAACGGCGAAACTTGCCCGTTCTATTTTCCTTGCGATAAGCAACATTGTATTTCGAGATAAGAACTGTCATTTCATGATGACGATATGCTAATCCATTGGTACACTTCCTTCGACTCATTTCGAGATGACTTGACTTGTGTCTGAGACAGGTGCCACTCAGGTGGATTGGTATTTTGGTTAATATTAATTAGGTGGAAAATGAATGTAGGATTAATTATGATTTAGCAGGGTCACTGTTTTCTAAGGAATTGTTTTTCCTCACCTTGGAAAGAATCGGTGTGTCACGAGTTGAGATGATTTTTTGACACTTTTCTACGGGAAATCTTTGGCTTCAAGTTGTTGTCCATAGTCAGGATCCGATTTTTCCGTCCAGATTTTCTTTTGGGAGGTTTTACATCGATTTTCAGATTTACCTCGACTCGAGTGTCGACCTTTCGACTTGACTACTCACCACTCACTCTCTGACTGTCAACCTGGGAGATCGTGTCCAAAGTGTAGAATGTTGAGTGCCAAGAGTGGGGAATATTGTTGTTGTTGGAGGGGGTTTGAGTGGATTTGGTCGTAAAGATCAGGCTTCTCTCTTTCTCTCCTCTCGTTTGGTGTACAGAGATTCTCAAACTCCTGAGTAGCCGGTCTAGTAAAACCTCTTTTGGCACTTCAATGGGAGGGAATGGCACTTTAATGGGAGAGAAGGGCACTTTTATGGGAGAGAATGTTGAAGAGGTTTCCCGGTCACCCATCCGAGACCTGACCACAGTCAACGTTAACCTTGAGACTCGTTTTCTCTCTCTTAGACTATTCGAGGCATATATTATAATAAAAGAAAAACACCTAAAAATGCGAGCATGCTTTTGGTCAATTTCATAAATTATTTTCTTCCTCACAGTCGCAGTCTGATCGGAAAGACGTTTACTTAGTGAAAGACCGTAGCCCTATAGAAATCAGCGTGCAAAATGTACAGACATTCTTATCGTACGTGTTGACAATTTTCAAACATTCTTACATGCTACTTATCCCTAAGAATTTAATTTTCTCACGAACATTCGCGTAAGTTCAGAAGTGTCAATCTTAGTTCTATCAGAAACGCATTACAATTTCAACCCATAATGAGGCTTCTTGAGCGAACTTGCCCCAAAGTCAATTTCTGCAATTGACGGTAAATTATGTATCAACAATCCAGTATGCCATCTAGCTCGGGAATACCGGATTCGTATTTCTCAATAATTTTCCATATCGATCGAATTGCAAATAATTACAGTTACGTACAAATAGACTGTATATAAATATCGATATTCTCTATTTACTTTGGGGGGAAAAAAAAAAATTATCGAAACATTCTACCGTGTATTTACACTCTGCGATTGCCAATAACGAGATGTACTCTATAGAGGATTAAAAATCAGTGGGTCAGAATTGATGAATTCACTTCGTGAAAATAATAGCCGAGGACTCTTTAAAGATATGCAGATTATGTTGGATCGATGAGCTAGGACTTTAAATCGTTCTTAGGTACCTGTACATCGGTTTAGGAATTTTAATACGAGATTATCTTCTGCAAGGAGTCCAGATTTAGGGGCACCTTCATTTCAAAGCACGAGGCCTCTCAGAGGATAAAGAAATACACGACGTAGCTGAAGAAGAGGACCAACAAGAGGAGCTAGGCGCCCACTTGGAACCAGTCTAGTCACCTCCAGACCATACATGTATTGTCCTTGCTGGCGGTGATAATGGTATCACCAGTGTACGAAAATGCACAACTGAACACCTCTCCTGTATGACCACCAAGGGTTTGGACAAGGTAGCTGGACTCCAGTGACCAAAGTCGGGCAGTCTTGTCCGAAGACGACGTCAAAAGATGTTGACTATTAGGACTGAAACAAACTAGAACAGCGGATGATAGAACCACGAATTCAAAACCTATAACTCCCTAATTGGCTGTGAAATTGGTATCTGAGAAGTCAATCGTTCATGAAACTCTTCTCCAAACCAGATGTCTCAAATCGTTTCAAACTCCACCCTGTGAAAATGGAGGCTATAAGAAAGGTCCTGGCACCCAGGAAATTTCATTTCTAATGAAAAAATGTTTAAAGTGTCTCCAAATTAAAAAGGAAAAATTGACATTTCATAGACGTCAGAACCTTCCTTATAGTCTTCAGATTCACGTCGTAAAGTTTAAAGGGATTCGGTACACGCAGTTAGGAGGAAAGTTTCATAAACGAGACTTTTTGACGCCACTCGCGTTACTTTAGGTCCCTATTGCGTGGCTTTTTAAATTTATTTATTCATCATTTCTAGATTTGTTTCCATATGGAAACGAGTATAACAGAAGAAAGAATTGTCAAAGTCTATCTCTTACCTTTAGAGGCCTCTTCTCTGTGGCCCTCCATGACAGCCAGCTGTTGAAAATCCTTGCTGACATCCCAAACCCTGGCAGTCGTGTCGCTACTGACAGTCGCCAACATTTTCCCCCGATTGTCAAAGGTCAGGTCAAGAACCTCGTCGTCGTGGCCTGAAATCGTCGCCAGGGACGAATTGGTCCTTGGGTCCCAAATTTTGGCCGTCTTATCAAGGGACGAAGAGCCGATAAGCGAGCAATCGAAGTTGTACAGACAATTGGAGATCTCCTCCCGATGGCCGATCAATGCACTCGTCCTCCTGTTGGGTCGAAAATTCGAAAATAAAATGAAGGGGCGATTTAAATTAATTTTTAATAATTCGGTAACTTCTTTAGGAACTCACTGGAAGGTCCTCGTGTCCCAAAGGTTCACGGTCCCGTCGAAGGACCCCGTAATGATTTGATTGCCCTCGTTGTTGTAATGCAGGGCGATTACCTCGGCCGTGTGTCCTCTCAAGGTACCCAATTCCTGACCTGGGTCAACATACGCGTTCTTTGTCAAGGCCACGAGGCCACCTTAATTCTCCCCGATTATTTCCTCGGAAAAAGCAAACCCATCATCCATTACCGGTTTCCACGTGGAAGATTTTCCCAGTTGCATCCAAGGATCCCGTGGCCACGTGGCTCTGAGATGGCGAGAACTTCACTGCGACCACTTCTGCATTGTGACCCCACAAATTGACTAAACAGTGGCCTGTCTTCGAGCACCAGACTCTCGCCGTTTTGTCGAAGGACCCGGTTACGATTTTGTCCCTGTAGAAGAATGAATGACAAAAATGTCCCGGATTACTTCTCCGTCGACACTTCTACATCTCCGCCGTGCACTTATCCTCAAACCCGCGCTTCCAGAATTTTTCTTTACGGATGCATCTTCTTTTCATTCATAAATACCTCTTCCTTGTCACTTATCAAATATTCCAGGCAAATTTTTCTTAAATTTTATAGAAATTTCCCTGGGAAGGAGGAATCGAGGGAGTCACCTCTCGCTTCTTCGCGAGCTAGAGTAAGGCGATGAGGCTTGGACGGACGCGATTCGTCACCCATTTAATGACCTTCGTTGACGAACTGCCAAAACGCGAGGGTACTTCCGGTACGTGACTTAAAGGGACCGAGCAGGACAATCACGCTTAATGGGCCCAGAACTTACGAGGTTGGATTGTTGAAGGAGACGGCGTACACCACGTTCTGATGGCCTTCGAGAGTAAGAAGCTCCGCTCCACTGTCGATGTCCCAAACTTTACAAGTTCGGTCGTAGCTGCCCGTCAGGCATCTGCCAAGAGATATCGTCAAGGTCTTTTTAAGTAACTCTTGACACGATCATTAACACTTCCACGTGATGCTCGGGAAAATCTGCGCTCGGTCGGAAGTACCTTTTACCTAGTTTATCGAAAGCGATGTTGGTCAAAGGCAACAGGTGCGTCTGCAGGGTCTTGTATTTGTAGTATCTCTTGACACTCGTATCGCAGACCTTGGATTGCAGCCTCTCTAGAGTTTCCACCAGCTGGTCCATCACGGTTTCCGTGATGATGGGCTCCGAGGCTCTGATGCTCTCCGCCAAAGCTTTGATATCGGTCCTGAAAGATCATCCCTTCTTACTCTTCCATTCTATCGCAATTTCCCCTTTTCTCATTTCGGAAGAATTTACTTTGCAGACAGGTCCAGGAGGTCGATCATCTTCGTCTTCACGTCCCCTCCTTGAGTGTACTCCAGGGCGATACCTGAAATCAAGGCGTCAATATTTTGTTTAAATAATTTCCGGGGTATACTTCACCGCGATGCCTGAAATCAACGCGTCAATATTTTATTTAAATAATTACCGGGGTATACCTTCACCGCGATGCCTGAAATCAACCCGTCAATATTTTATTTAAATAATTACCGGGGTATACCTTCACCGCGATGCCTGAAATCAACTCGTCAATATTTTGTTTAAATAATTTCGCAATGGAGGAATATTTCCAATAGTTGGAAATATTATTTCCGAGAGAGGAAACGGTAACCACTGTCCTGGACATTACCTGGAGGGAAGTATCTCAGCAAGAACTTCAGCAACCTCATCTGGAGCTTCGATTTGTCCCCACCGAGGGGACGGTTATCGGGACGAGATTTTCTCCCACCGAAGTACCTCAAAAGAGAATTATTTCGCCGACACTTTTCGGAAAATCGCGTTTATATTATCAGCTTTATCGGTCAAACAAAGTCTTGCTGGAAACTGTCTCGAGATCATGAAAATATCTGACGATAGTAGCACGACGTTGCCTCGTTACCAGGGCTCGTTTGGTCGATTTGGGGAATGCGGATCAAGGGCACAAAAGAATTGCCTCGTTACTTCAGAGTCCTGATATCCTCTCCCAATAATTACCCGTCGATTTTTAAGAACACGCAACGTAAACGTGTAAAATCACCCCCGAGACATCGAGTTTAAATGTCTTCGAAAAACTGTCCATCATCGCCAAGATATCCCCCCCTGAATAAAAATCCTCGATACCCCCTCGACTTATACTAATCAGCTGATAAATGTTGTAGTAACCTTTATTCAACGGAATAATATATAACAGAATGTGGAGGAGTTGCGGTGAAACGTCGGCAGGTTGGCGAGCTCGAAACGGCAGCCGCGTCCTGGTTAATCGATTTTAAATTCCGTTCTGGAATAAAGATCCAAAAATTCTGGAGACCCCCCGAGGTCGCCTCGATAATATTCCTCCAAATTTAATATCCAGACATTCGGCGACACCCACAGAGGAACATGCCACGCGTAGAAGGCGTTCTTCGACTCTTCCCACAATTTCTGTGCGCGATCCAGGACGCAGCCCCTGGGGACCGACGTTCATAAGTACAATCGCTCGGTACATTAGCTGCCAATCGGGCGAATACAATTCTCATTCGTTTCCCGAATCGCCACAAAAGGGCCGTAGGGGTCGAAGGGCCCCGACGAGCCCCATTACGACTGATAACAAAATAATCAACAAACGAATTACCCCCGGTGACCGCGCGAGTGCTCTCCGAGTCGTCTTGGAGGTGGCAGGTTCGATCCCACCTTCCTCCATTTTTTTTTTTTCATACCCGCCATGAACCAACGCAATATACATATATATATGTATATATATATATTTATATTTATATATTAATTAGTACAATATATTTATATTTATGTATAGTTAACGTCTCGGAAGAATCGTAATTTTAGAATGTTCGCGCGCGCCTCCCCCCTCCGGATCGGCCCTTTTTCTTTTAAATCTGACCTCCATTTTATTTATGCCTACGCCGACGTTTATTGCTAATTATATTACTCGCTCTCTTTCTCTCTTTCGCAACATCTCCCGCCTCTAGGTATATTTATACTCTCTTACGTGTACACATATACATACATGTATATATATAGTGCGTGGCCACGTGTCTAGGTATATACACATATACATATGTATGTATGTACCGTCTCTGCGAACGCACGATTATCTTTACACGCAGTGATACCAGTTTCGGATATTTAATCCTAATTTACACACTTTAGCGTTAGCGACGATCCGTAACGACTGTTTAAGTCGAGGTTCAACCCCCGACGAAAATCCACCATTTTTCCAAAACTCGCCACGTTTCTTTTTTCATCTCTCTTCAAGGGGGCTCGTAAGGGATTATTTACCGCTCGAGTTATGACAGAAATGTTGATACGCATCAAGGCTTGGGACAGTTTTCTCTACCGAGGTCGAGGGAAAGCGAAAGTCTGCAATGTCGGTAAGCTCAATCGGTAAAAGCTCGTTATCGAACCCCCTCAATGGTAACGGTGTACGTGTGTGTGTGTGATAACTAGCCGTAAGCCACGTGGCTCTGCCGAGAGGGGCTTCCCGCGATTTCGAGGCTAATCGTAAGTCATAGAAAAAGGAAAGCGAGGAAGGCCGCCACGTTTCGGCCATCTTGAGGAATTCATTTCTGGGGAGAAATGACGTCACGAGGACGAGAGATAATTCCTCGACGTCGTCGACGGGGCGGCTTTCCGACGAAGCGTCATCGGCGCTCGCTTCTTGGCAGGAATCGGCTTTTATCGTTTATGTTTTTTTCTCTCTCTCTCTCTCTCTCTCTCTCTCTCTCTCTCGCTTTTTTCGTCTACTTCCTCATCTTTTCCATTTAATTCCGAAGAGGCGACCCCTCGGGGAGGGGATCCTCTCGAGTCGCTTCGATTCATATATGCGGTGCTCCTATATTGCTAGTCGGCCCTCTGGATGTTCGTGTCATTTTAATTACGCAAGTACGTAACCTTAATTACCTAAGTACGTATACTTTGGTTTATACAAAAAAAAATAGAAGAGGAAATGTTTAAATTTGAGCTAATCTGCTGGGCGAGCCGAATGATTTAGCCGTAATTAATACGTAATTACGTATAAGTTCAAATAGAGCGTTCAAAGTTAAGTTCGTTTCTTAGGGCGAGTTGAATGATTTAAAATTAAGTTTATCCATTAATGGAGAACTCGGAAAATGTCGGCAAGTACATGAGGAATTTATATGCGAACTGGAAGGGCTGCGAGTGTACGTCAATGTTTAAGAAAATGCCGAGCACTCTTGGAAACTCTATCGCACTACTAGCAATATAGGAGGTTAATAATTAATATACATATATGCGCTACGACTTGGACGCCTATTGCATGTCTGCCCGCGTACACCGAGGCGCGCCAGGTTGCCGGTTTTCAGGGGCCTCTTCAGGGTCGGCGAGTCAGTCCTGATTTTCCATTAAAATGATTTAGCCTTTTATACAGGTCGAAAGGAAGGAAGCTACGGTCGTTAAAAAAATCAAGGAAAAATCTGCAAGATCTAAAGAAAATCTGAAAAAATATGAAATCAAGGAGGCCGTCGATGGTTAACGTTAGACGACGGCGGAACGCTTTTCATAATGTAAAATCTTCGACGAGAACGTTCCAGGGACTTGAACAGTCGTTTGGCACGTGGAGTGGACTTCAAAGTCGAGTCTAATGAAATTCAAGCCCCTGAATTTGCAAGCCCTGCGGCCTGGAGCAATTTCCGGAGGCGTATGTGCGCACACTTGCGGTAGGTCGCGCACGCTCGACAGAGCACCACGGCGAGATACAACGATACAACTTCTTGTCACTCGTTTCTATACAATTGCACAAGTATTTACACGATTAGTTAACGACCAATCCTACGCCCCCGTCCGGGGAATATATCGAGCCCGAGGCTTATTCGCGTTTACTTCGTACTTTTTGGCACATCCTAAGATTCTCGCTTCCAGCCCCTCTTCGGGGTCGAGCCTCCTCGAAATTCGGCGACGCCGAAGTCGAAGTCTCTCGGCTGGATCGACGAAGTGACCGCTGGGCTCTATTCGTCATTCGTCAGCAGCCAGTGGCGAACGGAAACCGGCGCTTAATACCAACAAAAGTCGGCCCCAAAAAATGGAAAACCATTTTGGATCCTCGCCCACGTGTCCGGAGTTCTCCCCTTGCGCTTCCCTTCGATTCCCCATTTACGAGGCACGTTTTCCCATCGCTTGATCGTCCAACTCTCGAAATCGCCGGTGCCGGGGAAATAGCTCATCCGGTTGCTTTTCTTTTCTCCTACCAGTCTCGCGAGGGTTTATCGAAAGGTTTTCTCCTTCTTTCTTTCTTTTTTTTTTATTCGGAAAGGCCTCACTTTTACGTACCGCGGAACTCGCCGCGTAGCGGAAAACCGAGTCCTCCGGTTTCGGAAGGTAAAAAAGGTAATGCAAGGTATTTAAATGCAACCTCTTAGAATCACACGGCAAATACTTCCCGCGCTCAGAAATTCAGGGACGAGATTGCCGAAAATGAGATTCCTCGAAGTATTTACCTGAGAAACTTGAGCTGGTGAGAGAGCTGATTCAACGGCAAGGTTATTTAGTTCTAACTTTCTTCGGGTAAATGGTAAATGTTTTTTTTGGTTGAAATAAGAAATTGGAAAGGTCAGGAATTGAGGTACAAAATGTACGGTAACAAGCCTTTTTCGGTACTTGAAAAATAAATCGAAATGGTAGTGATGAAGTTCTTCGGAGAACGATCAAGGACCTCATTGGTCGGAGGACTCGGGTTCTGTATCGACCTTGACGAGCTTCGATTCTACTGCGACGACGATGTCTACTCCGCGGAAAGACGACTTTCCGTTCGTTATACTGCTCTCTAAACGGACACATAGGGTAGCCTAAGGCAAACGGTAAAGCTTCGGTAACGGGTGTTCCGCGCGGAATTTCCGCCGACGCTCGACTTCGTGGTGGGCTCGTCGGGAAGAGTTATCCCGCCATCCCGCGGTTCTCCATAGACGTTTTACCCGAGATGGCGGGGCTCGGGAAGTGGTGCACGGCCTTGAATTAAAGACACGCGGCGCGTCTCACCTCGACGTGACTTTGAAACGAGAGGAGACTCATTCTGCCGTGAGGTGTAGGAAAATCTGATACGAGGAGCCTTATACGCCACCCAAGAGCCAGGACGATCGTCCGGCCCGAACGTGAGAGTTTTCCAGGCCCTCTTCGGGTAGTCGCACTAATTTCGGAATATCTCGAAACCTCCAGGACACCTTGGTACCCCATTTTGTGTGACATGTACAGAACGTGCGAAGTCCCCGCGGGAACGTCGAGGGGTACCGAGCCACCCTGAGGGACACCCTGAAGGGGCGCGGTGGAGAACGCTCGCGGGATCTTCCGAAGATATCCTCCGCTTCGTCAGGACTCGAGTAAGTCCTAGCCAGTACTATTTGGAACCGGAGGAGAAGGTCCTCTTCCGGGTGAATTCCTGAATCCCAGGTCCTGGGTTCCCCGTTCGGCTGCCCGGAAATTCGGATGAACGAGGGTGAACGACTGCCGGCGATCCTGGGGTCCTTTTTAAGGTCGAGATCCTCGTTCCCGAGGAAAGGGATCGGCTCGACTAGTCTCGGCTCGGCTCGACGATGGAAACGCGCCTGGCGCGTCTTCCTTGGGGCTACTGGACCCAGCAGGCCGGCACCCACTGGGGTTCCCTCTCCAGGGAGTTGATCTCCGCCAGGAGCTGGTTGTAAGCCCGGTCGGTGTCGTTGTTGATGATGATCATGTCGAAGAGGTGGCCGTACTTGTCCTCCATCTCGCGGGCCTTCTCGATGATGTCCTTGAGCTCTTCCTCCTTGAAGCTCTCGTTGTTCTTCAGTCGCTTCTGGCGCAGCTTCTCCAGGCTGGGCGGCGCGACGAACACGACGTACGGCTTCAAGTCGGAGCTCCTCAGGATCTTCAGGCTCTGAGGGTGGAGGTTCAGGACGCAGATCTTCCCGGAGTTGACGACCGACCTGATCGCCTCTACCGAAGTCCCGTAGTACGCCTTCTCGTATTCCCCGTGCTCAACGAATTTCCGGCACAGGATGTCGGACTCGAATTGCGACCGCGAGATGAAGTGGTAGTCCTGGCCGTCCACCTCCGAGTCCTTCCTGGGACGACTCGTATCTAGAACGGATAAATTTACTTTATCATCACAGTGATGAAAATGCCCAAATAAATTTACATACTCAATTATTGGTTACTTTGATGTCACAATAAATTGCAATAAAATTACGTTGTCTCTGTAAAATCACATTCTATACCTAAGTTAAGTTAAAGAAAATTAGAATGTAACATTCGAGGAAAAATGCCCTAATACAGTGAATATACAATCTTACGTGTATTTATGTAATTTAGAATGTGTAATTCTTCAATTTTACGTTTTTCTATATAAACCTTGATTTATGAAGTATGTACAAATGTATGTAAATTTCCATCGATTTTTATCAGTGTATCCTTCGCGTTTAGATTCCTATTTAAGTTTATAACATACGCCCTCCCTGTTCAAGGTGGCTACGTAACCATAAAGGGATCTAATTGGATCTAATTAATGCCGAGTCCATGTATCTCGGCAGAGTCTCGCGACAAGTGCACAAAGACTCACGAGGAATCGCAGCGGCGAATCGCTCGCTGTCCTGCATTAATCGCTGCCTCAGCTCGTGCCTGCCGATGTTGGGAGGACCTATGAGGACGATCGGCCTCTTGTGGTTTGCCCTCGGGTAATACAGAGCCACCTCTTCGTACGTGAGCACTTCCTCGCTGTCGTAATCTGCGGATGAGAGGAATAGTAACGAGACATGCCGACGATAAGTGGATTATTCGATCGATCGGCTTACCGTCAATCGCGGTCGTCGCGTACAGGGGGTACCCATCGTCGTTGAAGTTCAAGCCGAACTTGTTCTTCTTCTTCTTCTTCGGGTTCTTCCTGGCGCAGAGGAGCGTGCTCGACTTCTTCGACCCTCGGACCGTCGACTTGTCTCCGGCTATCGTCTGCTTCATGGACTCCCGCCTAGGGTAAGGCGATAAAGGTAATCGATTAAACGTACCAGAATTTCAACGATAACTCGCCCCCGAAGAATTATCGTATAGTAATTCAAGTTCGAGGTGGAAAGATGGGCCGTCGAAAATCGTCCTCGACGTCACTTACTGGTGCTGGAAGGCTCTGCTGGGAATCAGACCCGCCAAGGTCTGGTCCTCTTCGCCTTCCCGATAAGCCTGCCACCAATTCGGGTCTTCCTGGGAGATTACGTGAAGGACGTCCCCTTTCTGGAAACTCACGCCGAGTTCTCTGCACGGGATGTAGGGGTCCTCTTCAGGGTCGTAGTCGAAGTGAGCGCGGACGTGATGGATCTGGAATAAGAACTTATCAGCACCCTCTTCGTCTGCAGGGTCGTATCCTACGTTCACGCCGCTTTAACATATCCGGCCATGTATTTTCATGTTATAGTTTTCACATAGACTCGGGTACGTTCTCATATTTATTATATTTATTCCTGGGGACCTTTTTATCCGCGCAAAGCGTCATACCTGGGTGGTGTCCTCCCGTCTGTTATTTGAATAATTATTCCTGTGACTCGTAGGAGCTGGAAGGACCAAAAAGGTCAGGCTACCCTGCATGCCGGCCAGAATGTCGCAGACCTCGTTCACGCTCTTCCCCCTCATCTCGACACCATTGACTTCAAGGACCTCGTCTCCTTCGTGGAGGAGTCCTGACTTATCGGCAGCCCCGCCGCGTACAACACGACCTAATGGAATTATAATAATTAATCTTAGACCGTGTCGGTTCAATGTAGACGACCAGCTTTTAGAAAACTAAACTCGACTTGAATTTCTTTTGACATCAAGTACCTATGATGACGGCATCTCCCTCGTTCCTGACGGTAGCTCCAAGGGGCTCGTTGGTCTTCTCGATCCTGATGACTTTGATATTGTCAGCCACGTGGGAACCCCTCAGGCTCGACGAAGGACTCGGCGGACCGCTGGGCGAGGACGAAGAGGAGCTCTTCCTTTGCAGACCGTCGACATACGAGACGATGGAGTCGTGTGCCAGGAGGAGGCCCTCCATCTCGACACTCGTCAGCAACCCTGTCAGCTCCTCGACGGCTGCTATCGTTTCCCCCCCAGCTCCGGTGCCGCTGCCAACGGAGGAGGACTGCCATTGCTCCAGGACCTCGACGCACTGAAATAAAAATCGAATTAACGAATGTCACGAATAAACCCTACGAGTAGAAACGCCAAAGACAAGATGGAGCATCTTGTTGAAGAATTAATTTTGCAGTAGCTCAGTTTATTAAGGAGGGAGAACTTAAACGTCGTCCAAAGTCTATTCTACGAGACGACTCCTCACTGAGGAAATAATACCAAATAATTACTTCTCGCCGAGGGAATATTACCGAATAATTACCCCTCCCCGGGATTCTAAAGACGTATCGACACTCGAGTGGCAATGCCTGTACATCGGAGCTCAGATCGATCAAGTCCAAACAATCGAGCCGGCACTCCGGGGAACGAGACTTTGCTTAGGAGTTTCAGCGTCCTCACCGAATGCGAGAGGTGTCGCGAGTCGGGCAATAAAGGCTCCGAGTCTTGACAGACTCTTCAAGCATGTGCACTCCAAAGTGCAGCTACTTAAAGCCAAGACGTAAACTCTCTCACGGATCGTCTGTCTACATCCAACGGGTAATTGCATCGATTATAAGCTCCTAAGCGTACCAGCGAAGAGTAGCATTACCTCTATCGGGCACCAATAAAAAATGCTCATCCTAAAAACTGATAAGGATTCCTTTTTAACTTCGAACCCATGCACTTTTCCTTCTTCTTTTCCGTATTTTCACATTATCTATGAGATGGTTTATGATAGGAAATTCCTTGAATGGCTCCTTACATCTCTCGCGAGACTCGACGCGTCTTCCGCATGATGCTTGATGACTTTCCCCGACCTGAGCCGAGACTTGACCGCATGATGTGTCGCCAAAGCGGTTGCGAATCGCCTTTGCACCAAAAGCGTCCTAACCGCCTCCAATTCGGCCTCCACCCCGGGTCCTGAAATTCCCAGGGCTCCGGATATGTTCCGCAGTTGCAGCTGCAGCCTCTCCAGCGTTGCGACGACCTCTCCATAAGCTGAAACAGCCCGACACTTTAGACACGTGTACATAAAAATGATTTGATAAAAATATTGCCGATTATTTAGATATTTATAGAGAATAATTGGGCCATTTAGATCCCCCAAACGGTAATATTCAAATCAGCTGAATTACCTCGGGAGAATTTCCGCGCTCACGAGGGGAGACAAAAATTCTCGTCCTGCCGCGGAATAAATCAATTCCCTCGACAGAGAGCAGTATTGCAATTTGTCGCCAGTGAACAAAATTCATTTCAACGAGGGGGGCGTTTCTTGCCGCGAGTTAATTCCATCCGGATGTAATTAATCGCAAAACCGTCCTCCATCGAGGGAGTGATTTATCCGGACGAGTAGGAGTGACTTTTTACAATCGGCGCAAGCAGGGTCACAGGCAAGCTCAATTTTACCACGGCCACGGTAAATATTTCCCCAGGATCGCGCGAATCGTCTGAAATAAATCCCTGCAAGTGGATATTACTTGGACTCGCAAAAAAGGACATACGGGATGCGGAAGAAACGCTCGGAGAGGATTTAAGCGGCTACAAATAACGCGCAACATCTGACGGGATTTAAAGATGCAGGCGTATCCGTATATACACAATCCGATGATACGGCATCGGGCACGAATATCAGGAACCATTTGCATATACATGTACTCGCGTTCGTCGATTACGTGCTTATCCGGAGGGCCGCGCAATTTCTCTTCCAACGAGGCCAGAAAGAGTCTCCCGATCGTTCATTGCAGACATTTTTTACCAGCCGACATAAAATTCCCCTTTACAAAAAAAGGGAATAAAAAAAAGGGAGAGCACAAGATACACACAAATTTACCCTGGGAAATTTAAGCCAAATATTTGTATCGAGAAAATTGCTACCGAAGAACCACGAGGAAGAAACAAGAAAAAAAAGAATGAACTTATCGGAGTCTCGCAGGTGGAGAACGTTCTCCAGGAATTCCGCGTTCATTGGTCTCTTTTCGACCAGGTCTTCCCTTTTTTTTTTTTTAGAGAGAAGTTCGCTAAAAATTCGCCACTATTCACGGGATAAATCGACCAATCGACTCTGGAGTTCAGAGGGAATTAACGCTCCCCGGTGGCCTCGAAAGTGGTCCTCGAGGGTCCTTTTAAATCCGGCAAATGGACTCCGAAATCCATTTCCGGCCTCGAGAGAGTGCCGGCCTCTTCTCTGTATACTCACTGAGGGATCTGGGAGGCTCCTCGACTTCCTGGACCACCCTGCTGGGGGTGATCTGGCTTCTGGGTAGGTTCGTCGTCTCGTCCTGGGAGTAGGCAGGATTTTCCTGGCCGGCAAGACTCGTCGCGTGGCTTTCGAGTGCCTGCAATTTTCGAGATCCTCGCAAGGACTGATTGAGGTACTCCTGCCTCTCCTCTTCGTCCTTCCGCTTCCGCAGCTTCTCCTGAAAACCGTCGGAAAACCTCGTAAGCGTAAGAATAATCACGACGCATGATTGTCAGCTGTCGCTCCTTTCCCTTTTCTAGGGAGAATTCCCTGAAAATTCAAGAAATTATTGCTAAAACGCGGTAATTACCATTCGAGAGAGAGAGAGTGCATTAGAAGCTGACACTCTCTCCTCGAATTGGAAGGAGGCTCTCTCTCGCCTCGAACGGCTTCCAATAAGATATTCTGAATTTCCAATGCCGAGTGCGACACGGGCACCTCTTGGATATGAATCGCATTCCATTACGCATAAAACGACCCGAGCCCAGAGGTACAAACTTACTGCCAAGGACTGCCTCGCCATCCCGAAGGGCCACTGACAAAAAGGGTGCATTATTTAACGAGACACAAATTTCGAGCCCATTCGTCTAGAAGTTCACGTTTCCGAACGTTTCACGTGATGATTTGAAAAAAAATCTCCTTCTCTATTACGAGATTTTCTATTCTATTAACAAATTTTTCGACGCGAGCGTTCTCCACGCGCCGCCATCTTGGATTTCCCGTGACGCCTGGGTCGAACTAAAAACCGAGAATTATCGAGAATTCCTCCACCTGCGGGAATAATGAGCACTTTTAGAATGATTCAGCGAGTTTCCTTTAATTTTACATGGGTATGGATGTTGGGAGTGACACGGATGAGCGATCGAGTCGCGAAAAACGAAAGGGAACGCGACCTCCGACGTCGAGGAGGGCCGCCCTCGAGTCCTTCCGCGAAGGAACGCGCTCCTGGCTTCGTCATTGGATCTCGTAACCCCCGAAGGATTTACGATCGCAGTTTTAACGACAAAGCCGAATGGCATTCGAGGCCGACAGGAGCGAGCACCGTCCGGCGAGACCGGGGCTCCGGACCGGCGATTACGTATCGCCATATTGTGTTACAATATGGCGGGCGTGTCCACTGACAAAGCCCGTCTTCTCGTTTCCGGAGCACGGCCGACCGCCGCTCGGGAAACATCACCTGGTAAATAATCGAGCACATCGCAATCTACCACGGAAATGCGTTATTAGGGTTATTTAGGTTAATTCTGTAGAGTCACATTTTTAAAGAATCGATTCGGCATCGATCCTATCGCGGAGCTCGGAGGCACCTTGGACGGGGTGGAGAAAAAAATAAAAATGGCCGACGCGTGCTTCTCACGCGACATATTTTTCACGTGGGTTTGAGCAGCTCACGTGTCAACGGCCACGCGTAACGATCGACTCTCTTTACGCACATCGGGGATAAAAATACCTCCTCGAAGCCCGGCTCGCAAAACCCACGTAAGGTTTCGCTAACGCACGTCGAATGCCGCAAGACGAGAAGTCTTGCGACAAGACGCGATTCCAATGACACCCCGACAATTTAAACCGAACGCGAAGAGTCGTCACTCAAAATGCCCTGATAAAAATTAAATGTAACGTCACGTTATCATTTATATTACAGAGACAATGTAACTTACCTACTAATGTTGTAATAGTAATATAGCTCGCGGTGTTATATTTCATTTATGACATTATACTTTTTATCCGTTAATGGAAGTAGAGGTATTTATTTATACCCGAGAGTTCTGAGTTTTGGAAACCCATTGGCAGAGGTTAGAGATAACGAGGATTTAAATGGGGCCAGGAGAAAAAAGGAGGATTCCAACCCAAGGATTCCGGCGATGAGTCAGGCTCCTGGGAATCGCGTCCTTATGCACGGGTCACGTAAGGTCTAATCTCGGGGCAATAAAGCTCCCTTCGAGTGCCGGGCTGCACTTGACTCGAGTCCCTGGAAAATGGTTCTTCCAGGGGTAGATAGGCTTTTCCAGAGACCGCGGAGTCGCGCCGAAGGCGCGAGGGAGTTTCTGGCATTCCTCAGACACGACACGAGTAATCCTTGGGAAAGATTCCGCCTTAAAGTCCTCGAAAAGGGCCTGAAACTCGAGAAGGCCCTTCGACAGGGTTGTTTTCGAAATTTCACGCTCCGGTCCTCTGCTCTTCCTTTTTCACGATGCCCTGACTCCCTCGTCCTAAAACAACTTACGCTTTCAACCGTATGTCCTATAAGGACATTTCCCTCTTCCTCCCGTTTTCTCCCTAAATCCGGATTTATAAATAAATTTTCTTAACATTCTCGGCGAGCGCTACGTCTCCGAAGACTTCCTCCTTCGCGTCGGTATCAAAATGGAAAAAAAAATGGACGTACGTATCTCTACCATTTTCATTTCTTACTTTAATATTTTATTTTACCTCTAGCTATGATAAAGAAATATTTTTTCTTTAAATTCGATCTCGCGAATAGAATTTCTTCGCATTCAAGGCGAGCGCGTCCGTAAAGGCGTCCCTCTTCACGGCGGTACCAAAATGGCGGCGACGTTCGTATTCTCACGGTCCACAGAGAGGCATCACTCTCTCGGTGCTTCCCCGTGAAACGGGCGAGATCACTTCACCGAGATGTTTATGACGTGTCAGTTTACGAGGCAGTGAAACTTATCGGGCGACGTCGAATATCGGAGACTTCGATGCCCGAGGAGCCGGGAAGAAGGCTCTTCGCAGACGCCATTACGTCTCCCCGATGCGTCGACGTCGCGACGCGATTGATGCGGATGCTTGTCGCAAACCGGGGAATAAATCTTCCTCCTCGAGCACGTCGAAATTTAAATTCCGCCATTCGTTATCATCCCATACCCGAAGATGAATAAAAAGGTCGCGCAATAAAAAAGCTGATGGAGTACGTCGTCCCGAATTTCAGCTGTTTAGTATTTCAGCTGTCCTCGTAATCGATTTATCGAAAACATTTTTAAATAGTCGCGTTTCTCGATCGAGCAAATGCGTCTCCTAAATTTCCGCCCTCGTTGCACCTCGTAGAATGTCCCGTACATAAAGTGCAGAGAACGAGGTTGGTGCACCAGCGCCAGGCCATGTAAATGGCCTGTCCGTGCCAGAGCAAGAGAGCGAGAGGACGAGAGATCGCCTAAATAAGCAAGAAGAAGAGGGAGAAGAGAGGGGGAGGCAGGAAGCAGGGCAGAGGAAGCGAAAATGAGGAAACGAGGGAGCAAAGGGGCGTCGAGGTGGGGGCGGAATCGTGGCAAGGGTGCAATTTGTACGAATGCCCTCGTTATCATGAATCACCTTCCGATAGGCCCTCGCGTAATTTTAGATCTACTGATACGAATTTAAACTTCAATTTTCCAGCAAAAAAAAATTATGGAATCTGGGGGTGAGATTCCTCCCCTTCTAATTCCCTTCACGCGGTTGTCGACTTGATCGACTGCCCCTGATTAATTTTATTAAAAAAAAAAAATAAAAAATCATGGAGTCCGAAGATGTCATTGCTCTCATCACAAGATCTCATCACTTTCCGATTTAGCATTCACGAGGGTGTCGATTTTATTGACAGGCCCTGATTCGTTTTAATTATTGGAAAAAAGAAAGAAAATTGTGGAGTCTGGAGATGTAATTTTGGTGAACGTGGATTTTCTGGGTCCCTAGATTGATCCTAAAAAAAAATGGGGAAAAAATGGGGAACTCTGGGTGGCGTTACCTGGTACTTCCTGATGGAGTGCAGCTGCTGCTGCGTGATCTCGGCGTTGGCATTGTCGGTCTGCTCGACGTTGTTGTTCTGGGTGGACAATCGCAAATTGTCCTTGGGGGGTCTGGCCGGAGCCCTCTTCTGGTCTCTGGGCGGGATGGCAGGCTTGACCCCGTTGAGGCCGGTCTAGAAATTCATCCAAACCGTTCGCATTAGTGGCCCCCGTTTTTCCAGACTGTCATTTCCCCTCTCTGTCTACACACTTCTCGAGAAGTCCTCTCATCGGCCCCTCTTCTCTCCGCGACATCGGTCGCACATCCCTCCCTATTAATCTCGTATCTCAAATTCTTCCCATCGTTCTTCACATTTTCAACATTTCTTTCCCTTACTCTTCCTTCTCTATCGAGCGATAGAATGGAAATTACCTACTCTCGAGGAAAGCGCGAGATGCAGAGGATGCAAGTACTAAGTAGTGCTCAGAGTGTTATCAGTTCAAAGGGTTTATCTACCATGCTGGAAAAATACCGGGATTATCCGGAATTTTCCCCCTTTCCGCAAGATACACCTAAAGGAGGCTTCGATAGAAATAATTACTCCTTATCTTCCGTCAAGGCAAGCCGACTTCGAAAATAAGCTTCTCTCACTCCTGATGGAAAACCTCGAGAGATACGTTTTTTAGCCATTTTTTCTTCGCGTAAAAAATTCATCCCGTGGTCGGAGTACGCGAAATTAAAGAAATGACACGCACAATCTTTCCGTTGGACTCAAAGTTAGGAGTGCGGTGTTGGCTTGGTGATAATAGAGAGCAGTCGGTCTTTCAGGTCGCACGTATACGTACTTGGAGTAGACCTGCAACGAGGCCACTAGGTTGGCCATTAATCGCGGATGTTAATAAAAGCGTTTACGTTGTGCAATGAGGTCTCTCCGCGAGCACGAGCACTATAAATGCCCTTATTTGATTGGCCATTCCGTTCCTCCTCTCTTCTCCTCCTCAAACCGAAGCCTTATATGGGATTTAGTCGAAATTATCCGACGGAGCTTTCCTAAGCTCGATTCGCCTTGACGTTACACGACCGAGTCCAGGTTAAGCGTCGACGGTCACGGCCACGGCTAGGATGGGGTGACCGTTTCTCGTCGCTGCCCAAAGACGCGACTGCGAGGCTATAAACGGGGAGATCCATATATCACCCTGTCTAAAAAAGGACACGCGATCCGCACCGAGCCAATAAACGCGCGCGAAAAAGGGAAGACGAAACGTATAATACGTCATCCGGTAATCAATATGTCGGCTTAAACCGCCCTTTCGCAAGCCTGCCTTGAAAAATAATTGCAGAAAGGGCTTCGCCATTGCTGCGGTGTCAAAAATGGCGATGTGGAATTCTTCCCACTTGAGGGAGACCACGAAATGTCTAGTTTGCATGTCTGGTTCCCTTAGGCCCTTTATAAGTGCAGCATCCGGCAGGAAGATCTAACTACCAGCTGGAGGTTCTCTGAAATTTTCTCAAATTCCGAGAGTCGCTTACAGAAAGTCGGCATGCAGAAATATCAGATAGAGATTACAGAGATATGAGGTGTTCAACGATGCAGAGAAAAATCGTTCCTTCCGCATGCATCTTTACCTGGTGGTAGTCGAGGTCCTCGCGAGGTCGAAGCGAGCTCCGGGAACCGTTCAACGTCGGGCTGCGAGGGTTTGGTGTTGGTGTCGTCGTGGTGGTCGGGTGTTTGTTAGAGTCGTCGAGAGTCCCCCGGGATAGAGAGTCGTCAAGGGAGGCTTTAGAGCCGGGACGTCGGGCGTCGTCAAAGGACCTCGAGACGAGATTGGGATCGGAGAGCCAAGAGGTGACCTTAGAGATGGACAGGTCGAGACAAAGCGAAAGGTCCAGGTCGCTCCTGTGCAGGACTTCATGGAAGTCCGAGCGCAAGGAGACGGGCTTTTCGTTTTCGACACCACAAACGGGGGATTCCAAGACGCTGGGATATCCAAAGCGTCTATATTCCAAAGAGAGTCTGGAGTTGGTGCGATTTTGGGCATTAGGCGAGTCATCAAGACTGGCGGAATCGCCCAGAGATGGGACATCCTGGTGACTTGGGGCACCAGGCGAGTGATCGAGACTCGAATCATCCGGAGATGGGACGTTCGGATGACCATTGAACGGGAAATTGGGACTGGCACTTGGCCCAGTGAACGGGGAATAGTCGACCTCGAAGGATCCACCTTTCCCGGACACGAACTGGCGGATCGAATTGCGGATCTCCTTCATGGAGTTCCGGGAGTTCTGGTCGGACTCCCGCGCGGATCGCAGCTTGCCTAGGAGTTGCCCTTCCTTGGAAGATTTACAGAAACGAGCTCCAGGGTCGCACCGATTCCCGATTAGAAGATCGTCATCGTCCAAGAGGTTCTCGGTGGAGCGGAATTCGCAGGAGCCATTGGGAGTCCCAATGGGGATGGTGAGAACATGGCCATTGGTCTCGCTACCATCGACATCCTGGACCAACAGGGTCTCCCCATTGACGAAGGTTTGGCTGCCCGACGATCGAGTGGAGTTGCGAGTCTCCCTGATGGAGTTGCACGAGTTCTGATCGGTCAAAAGGGGTCCCTCGTCCTCGTTGATCTTGAAGAAGCAAACGTCTCCGGCGCGATCGCGACCGATGGACTCGTTATGGGGCAAGGTGTCCATGGAGTGAAGACTGGACCCAGGGAGGCTGGGAGAGGTCTTAGGGGCAATGGTCAAGCCACTGTCCTCGGGCATTTCTGGTGAACCGCAATTTGGGTCGGGTCTCCCGTTATCGGCTGACCCATCGTTATCGAACGGAGTCCGATGCATGGGGTCCCCGGTTTCCCTGTCAGAGGATTTGGCCAGGGGGGCACTTTTACCCCAAGGCAAAGGAGCTCCAACAGAGGGTCCACCCTCGCGGAGTTCGCTCCTGGCGAAGCCAGGATTCTCATCGCACAAAGGGTCCGACAAGTCGGTGCGTTCGTTAGTGTGTCCATTAGAGTGAGCGGTGCTAGAAGCGGCAAGCGGTTTGCGGTGATCATAGGAGAAGCTGTCGACAAGCAGACTCTTGACTTTGGACCTTACCTTGTCGGCGGTTCGCTCTAAGTTTCGGGGTATTACGGAGTGCCTAGCGCTACCACGAGGTGACATGCCAGACCCGGAGTCGGTCTTGGTCTCTAAGATCTTTCTATCGTTAAGACAAGAGAGGGGCACAGCCCTCTCGTTCCTGGGGCAGAGACTGCCGGTGGCGAGGCGTTTCTCGGGGACGTTTTTGCCCCTGCAAACCGCACTGTCTAGGGTATTGCTCTTGCCACCGGGGGTTCTGTTCGGAGGCGGGTACACTGGGTGCGACTTGGTGACGGGCACGAAGTCCGGGGGGCAGTCGACGGCGACCTCGCGGAAGATCCTGTTGCTGGAGCGGCAGGACTCCAGGAGTTCCAGATCGGTAGAGGCGTCGCTCCTCAGGGTGGAGTACCCACTGGAGGCCTGTTTCTTCTTCCGACTGCGCGGTTTCGACGTGAGCCCGGTGGCGTCGACGTCGACCAGGTTGTCGGTCGAGCCTATCCCGATGAGTTCCTCTGAGTCGAGGTCTCTCTTGGGTCGGATCCTTGGATCCTGCCTCTTGGAAACGCTCTTCCGCGCCTTGGCAGACTCCCCCCGGACGCGGTTGTCCTTGCTCCAGGAAGCGTTCTGGCTCTGCTCCCGTGCCTTCCTGGCCATCAGGCCCTGCTCGTCGATCAACCTGGTGAGGTCCGAGACCTCGTCCGAGCGCACCAGAAGGCCCTGCAGGTCCTGAAAGTCCGCCAGCCCGTAGGCGGGGTTGTCGAACGACGTGGAGTCCCTTCCTCGACCGAACAGCGGGGCGATCTTGATCTCGGGGAGGATGGACCTACAAGGCGAGCCCAGGTCGATCCTGCGGGAGTCGTACAGAGGAGAGTGCTTGGCCACGACTATTCCACTGGGCTGGACCCTGAGCACCAGACTGGTGTCCAATGGGGCGGTACTGTCCGACCTGCCCGACGAGCTCCTGGCACTGGCCGAGTCGTCGCTGCAGGTCTTCAACATGGTCGGGTAATCCTCCTTGGCGAAGGGGTAGTCCTCCTCCGCGTCCACGCTGGACTCTCTCTGTCCACTGTCCTGCTCGTCCTGGCTCGGCTCCGGGTCCCTGCCAACGTCTTCCTTCTCCAGCGGAGAGATTTTCCCCAGGTCCTTCGCGAACTCCTTCGTCTCCTCCCCACTTCCCTCGTGTCCTCCCAATTTCTTCTCCTTATCCATACCTGAATCCTTCTCTGGGCCCTCCTCTGCCTTCCTACCGCACACTTTTACCTTGTCCTCCTCGTCTAGGGGCTCCTGCTTCGGGCTCTCGAGCTGGATCCTCGAGTCCTTCTTCGGGGTCTCCGGCTTCCCGTTTTCCCTCGCGTTTTCGCCCCGCTTGTTTCTTAGGTTAAGGGAGAGGTCGAGATCGCTAGCGCTACGGGGTCGGCGTTCGAGCTGGGAGCCTGGGGAGTAATTCTTTACCTTGTTGGGGTAAGCCTGCTGCAAAAGGGTGTCGGGCACGTCGACGGGGAGCTCCCGGTGGTGGCCCAGGGCCGACGGGGCCCACATTTCATCGGGCCCCAATTCTTCCCTGGGCTCCTTTGCCTCCCGGCTCCCGTTGTTGTTCTCCTGCAGCTGAGCCTGCTGCAGGTGGATATCCGCCACGCCACTTCCGCTACGCCCTCGGGACCTGCAATTACATCCCAGATCCGTTATACCATTTTCTACCCATCCTGACTAGTTTCAAGGTATATTACTGCACTAATACAATAACTGTGCAAATAAATCCCCCGGGAAATGTCGCGTGCAACTAAGTCCCCTGATGCAGGGAGTCGTTCAGAAAAAATTCACTCTAAGCGTATCTTTAAGGTGATATGAAAGAGTAATTTTATANTTTAAATTCTCACGAAATTTTTTTTTTAGTTCATCCTGGATTGGAACTAAGGAAACGTATATTTCTTTTTTTAAAGTAAATTTCATGAGATATCTTGACGTTTCATAAATATCTTGACGTTTTGATATACACATATGACGCTTTCATAACACCTTAAAAAAGATTCACAACGGATTGGCCTAAAGCGGGGCTCTTACAAGCTGTAGCAAATTTACATGTTACTTTCTTCACTTATTCGGGGACTAGGAGGTTTCTAAGTGCACATAGGCATTTTCTATGAGTCACTATTTCGGATTTCATTTTTAATCATAATCTGAGGATTTTATGATGAACCTTGGCGTTTGGAGAGATCACTTTGCGTGGGGGGATTTTGTTAAACGAAGTGTCAAAATAGCGGATTAAGACAGAATTGTGGTTAGTCGAAGCGTGTTTAATTAGAAATTTAAATCCAGATCTGCAAACCGCATTATTACGTCAAACATCATTTTTAATCGTAATCCTGAGGATTAACTTATGAACCTTGGCGTTTGAATAGATCACTTTGCATGGAGCGATTTTTGTGGAGCGAGTTGTCAAAAGAAAGAACTGTGGTTAGCCGAAGCGGCTTCTATATCCGCGTGTCTTATTAGGAATTTAAATCCAGATCTGCAGGCTGCATTAACACGTCAGACTGACAGGCACCGGAGCAGCTTAATACCGTGTACAGCACTGCATTGGCTTATGTAAACCCGTTTACGCTATGTTCATTACGTAAAAGCAGTCGCGATACCAATCGCAATGTCCTTACCACGTCCTGCCATTGGAAGACCGTCTCTCTCTCTCCTTCGTTTCTCACGCGGAATAATTATTCAGGATTGAAACGTAAATTTAAATGCACGTGCGCACTCGGTACGCGGATTTTCAAAGCCGCGAGAAGTGACACATTCCCCGAGAGCCGGGAAATGCCTTCAACGTTTTCATACAATTTTTATAGCGATTCAATTATAGCAATCCCGTAGAAATACGCGTTACCCGTGTATATCATTAAATGCGAATATCCCAGAGCATTTTGATTGGTATGGGAATTATGTAAACTCTCGTTAAAGCGCGCAATTAAGTCCGCCCAGGGAAATTCGATTCGGAATTCGATTGGATTTGCAAAACGCGTCGGCGTGAAATAAAAATCCCAATTGTTTGTACCGATGGGAAGAGACATTACCGAGTCGCTTTACGGATGGATTTATCGAGAAGAAGGAAATGAACCACGGGAAATGTGCATGTAGGATTGTACGCGCCCGTTCGTGATTACTCATTAAGAGTTGCATAATCTACGGGATAAGAACGCGAGCACGGCATTCGTTAATTAAAATGTGCGAACGAAATTTAATCTCGACGATCGAGTCGCCTCTTCCAATGCAGATTTCGTGCCGCGCATAAATTAAAGTGGTACTAAAATGTATGAAGAAAAAAAAAATAAAAAAGAAAAATCAACTTTGATAAGCCCACATCTATGCGTTCCGAGAATCGGAATATCGTTTTAATATACTCATTGTGTTTAAGAGGACTAAAGTTAATTAAAAGGTGTTCGTAATTTCGGAGCAATTATTCCGAAGTAGGGACATTTTTCTCGGGGGGGATGGGACGTGTAAGAATAATAATAAAATTGGAACGTTCAGGCGGGTCCTTTTCGCCTCCTTTTCGGGTATCCGGAGACCGTTTAACGACGCCGTTACACGAAACCTATGGGTACTGTAAATGGTAGCGGTATGTGGAACATATGTACAGCATGTGCCTCCTCGAGAAGAATTCGCCGAATAGAAAGACAATGGGGCATAAAGGACAAAGGCGATAGGAAACGCCTCGAAACGGCCGTGACAACGATTCGGTACCGGTCCATGGGTGTCGTACAAACCCGAACCGATGCGAACAACAAATGTCTTTGTTGGCATACTCACAGTTTCCTGCCTTTTAGACCGCGCCAAGGCCTCCACCTTGAGGACCGAACTTAAGAGGGCTCCGAGCTTTAAACCCCAAGTACGAAGTCCCGAAGTCCCTAGACACGCCTAGCAAGGCTTTAAGAAACTCCGCGAGAGAGAATTCACCCCATGGATACGAAAGAAAAAAAAAAGGAAGGAACTGAACCTCAATAACAAAAAGAAACACGCGTCAAATGGATGGCCGCACATCACAGACGTTTTCCACTCCGCTCGAGTATAGCAACCAGCGCTGCGTATTTTTCTCACTCTCACTCTTAATCATTTCCAATACTCAATTTGGCGAGTTTTTCGATAAACCTCGAGTGGGTTGAAAAATTGCACGTTATGGTAGAAGAGAGAGGAAAAAAGGAATTAAACATTTCCCGGGAGAGGGAGTGCAGGCTCCGATAAGCGAAGCGACAAAGTCGTGGCTCGGTGGAAAAGTTTCCGGAAAAAGCCGGGCATTCGTCATTCGGGGTGAAAAATGTACTTTCGGCGGTTCTCTCCCAGCTCCTCCGTTCCGACCGGAAAAGCGGCGAAAATCTCTCGGGAAGTGCCGCCGCGGTTGGACCCCTCGGTTCCTGGACCTAGGCGGAGCATTGTTCGCACGTAAATGTAGGTTAGGTCAGGCATGTGGCCAGTTTCTATGAGCAAGCTCGAGGAGACAAGGTAATACTGGTTTTCTGCGAGTCGAGCCCACCGTACTCGTCCCTTACTGGTGCAGGTACACGTACTAGTACATACAAGGCACGTACTAGTGCAAGAACACGTACGGATAGTCCGGTTGCGTCCGTTCGAAAACTGGACCAACTATCTGGGCTACTCGCGCTCGGTTCTTCCGCCTTTTCTATTTTCCCTATTTTTCATATTTTTTCTACATCTTTTTCTCCACTCGTCGTCTCTCTCTAACATCCGGCCTGCTCGGAGAAAATCGATGCGTCAGTCACGGGAAAGTCATCGAGTACCCATAACCCTTAAACGGAAATTGGGTCATCTAGATCCAACATCATCGTAAGTGTATACTGAAAATATAAACGTCTCTCTTAAAAAAAAGGAAAAAAAAAAGAAGGAAAGATTTACGCGGCTTTTATTCCTACTACTGATATTCGCAAACACACTGATAAAAATCCATGGAAATTTACATACACTTTTAAACACTTCATAACTTCAGTTTCAAGTAGAAAAACGTAAAATGGGAGAATTAGAAATTATAAAACGTATAAATACACCTAATATTGTAGATTTATCGTATTGGTGCATGTTTACTTGAATTCAATGTAATATCACGTTATAACTTTCTGTCATTTAACTAGGATGCTGAATGCGATATTACGGAGAGAATGTAATTTTTCTGTCATTTGTCGTGACATCGAAGTAACCAATGATTCAGTACGTAAATTGACTTGGGTACTTTTATCAGTGTGCGTGAAAATCCGGCGAAGTGCCGGTTTGTGTGATGACAATGGGTCAAAATGATTTAATTACCGTTTGAGGGTCATACGCGAGTGATCAATGAGGATCATCGTTCGAAGTCTTATGACATTTGCTCCCCTTTGGTAGGATAAATTCGCTAAGGAAAATCATTTCCTCATAAAATTCCGCCCGATAGGGATTTACTCAGTCGACGGATTCCGCGAAAGTTCCGGGGAGATTTCCTTTTTCGCCCAACTATGCCTTTTTATCCGGGAGCATTTTACGGGAGTGCAAGGAAACGGCGGATTCCTTCGTCCGGAGTTTAAGCCCCATTTAACTTCGCAATGGATCATTTTTCAACTTTTGTGCCTCCCGAAGTCTCCGCCAACTTCGGCAACTTCCGACCGAGTTCCGATCAAGGGCGATTTCTCTACGAATGGAAACGTCCGTACTTTTATTCCCGCAAGAAAGGGAATTGTCGCCGGTTTGACGCGATGCAATTTCAAGGATAATGGATGATAAAAATGAAAGGAAAAAAAAGACACAAATCTGTGTTAAATATCTGAAGGCCGTATCACCCTTCAGGCACGCTCTACGGATATCTCGGCAATCAAGGGAAAGTATTTACATGTAGGTAATTAATTTTGCGGGTGTACTGGTTAATCGAAGCAACCTCTACGCTACCTAAATCATTACAGGGGTTGCTGGCTCTAGAGGGGTGCTCTACTACAATAATCCATGAGACCAAAATCTCCTGCATTGTCGTGAAAATCCGCATCTCGAAACTGCAATTAGTGAGCCGGCAATGAACGAGAAAAAAAATGAAAAAAAAAAGATAAACCCTCCCATAATGAGTCCTCCGATAATTTCCAAGCCGGACGGACGTGGAGTGATCATATCGAATTAAAAGAACAAATATATCCTCGTTTGCATAAGACATTATCATTCGAGCCCGGTCAATTACCCCCTTCGGCGAGGATCTCGCATTTTGAAGCCATGTTAATCTCCGGGAGATTAAATTAAGAGGAGCGTTTTGTCGCGAATTATGCCCCCGGCGCAGTAGGCAGGATAATCATTCGATATCGAGGAGAAATTGGATCAGGAAGTACCAGCGATCGATCATCTATCTTATCAAAATCGACACAGCGAACGCACCTAATCGCGTTGCGTCTCTTCAGGGTCCGAACTTTCGGCCTCCGGGCACCCGGAGCCCT